TTAGATGGTGTCTTACTATTGGGCTACATGGGCTTCATTTGATCCCATCTCCCTCTCAGAAAGACAAGTATGAACGAGCAAGAGTCAATTCAAGCAGATAGCCTCAAACTTCCTGACCAGTTTTAGGATCGGCTAAAGGGGGAAAGGAAAATTAGGGATTTTCTGCCCCACACCCTTGTATTTGGGGTTCCTTTAGGAAACAGAGTATAAAGACCAAAGAGAACTCCCACCGGCCTCACTGGTCCCAGCACCAGTGAAAGTACCATCTTCCCTCAGCTCCACATAAACTGGTCACCACTTTCTGCCACATGAAGGGCCAAAAGTATTTCAACTAAGCATCTTGCTGTTTTGTCCATCATGCTTCTTCATCTACTCTCATATTTTCTTCAATCTGACTTCCCTCTCTTTCCCCATGAACCTCGGGGTCCAGCCCATCTCAATTAAATCCCCATCCAGGTCCTATAACTTTAGACTTGCCCTTTTGGATGCCTTTCTCCTTCTGCGGGCCCACATCCAACCCATCTAACTAGACACCTTTAAAATTGCCTTCTTCTAGAGTCTTCGCTCTGTCTCTCTCTTTGTCTCTGTCTTCCTTTCTGTCTGTCTGACTGACTCTCTGTGTGTCTCTCTCTGTCTTTGTCTCTGGTTCTGTCTTCTTGTCTCTATCTCTATTGTCTCCCTGTCTCTATTTGTCTCTGTCTCTCTCTATTTGTCTCTGTCTCTCTTTGTGTCTCTCTCTGTCTTTGTCTCTGGCTGTATCTTCCTGTCTATCTCTTGTGTCTCTATGCATCTCCCTGTCTCTCCATCTCTGTCTCTCTCTCAACCCTGGGAGAATGCTTGAGTGTCTAACTGTTAACTTTCCCTCTTGTTCTGGGTTGTTTGTGTAGAAAGAGTATTTCCTTGTATCTCTACCTCCCCCCCTCCCTGCTCCCTCAGGACTTAAGTTCTCAGATCTGAGGCATTCATCCCTCTTTCAGTTCTCCTTCCTCCAAAACACTCATCTAGTGCCTAGGAAATGGTACCTATGCTGAATCAGTGAAGGTAGATGATGATATAGTCTAGAGTCATGGTTCCTCCATGGTGGGATGAGGTGATGGGATGGTAGGAAGAGAGACAGCAGCCATGATGGAAACTGGCCCATAACCTTCCCCTAGGCAGCCTCCTTTAGGCTTTCATTTTGTTGCTGAATAACTCTGCTTTGGAAGAAAAATTAAGATGCCAGGCAGGTTCCAACAGCCAAGCCCCACGGCTCTATTGACTAAGGCTTGCCATCTAGGCGCTTTCTTCCTGTGGACAAATGCAATGCTGAGGGAGGATAGAAAGAACAGTCACTGATGGCAACAGGAAAGGTTCTTTGGCCAAGACAGCCCTCAGGAGAGAACACAGTGCAGCCATAATTTATTGCTTTCGATATTTTTCACTTCCAACCTTATTTTTATAGACATTATTTCATAGGCTACAGCTTAAACACAGATGGAAAAGATTCTGGCTTTGTAATAAGAGATGGATTTTGGTGGGCCCACCCCGCCGCTCTGTGCCTGTAAGTGAGTAAATGCACACGACCATGGCCTTAGGTGGGGCTGGGAGATGCCTTTATTGTATGTGTAGATTTTGATCTCTAACAATTCCACCCTCATCTCTCCTTCCTCATGGCCAGGCCCTCTGGATGCTTCCAGGGGAAAATGTGATGAACATGATGGTGGGGAAGAAGAAGGGACAGAGCAGCCTATCAAATGTATGGCTGGTTCTGCCTGGGTTTACTCCTTTTCGAGTCTTCAGTGTGCTAAGATCCAAAAGGCATGGCTGAAAAGATGGAAAGAGGAACACATGGTATTGTCTACATGACTATGCTGTATGAATTGCTTTACCCTTTGTGGTGTGTGTTTGCAGGTGGTGTCAGGAACTGGTTAAAAAACTGTTTCTAAATCCCTCTAATGTTGCCTGAGGTACTCTCCCTCCATGCTGTAGCACAGAGTCTCATCTCAATAAACATCTTTAAAATCAGGATTGAGGAGCCAGGGTGACAGCTCAGTTGGGGAAGTGCTTGCCTTGCAAGCACAAGGGCTGGCTTCAGTGCAGAAGCTGTGCTTGGTGGCATGGAGGCAGAGACAAGAGGATTCCTGGGACATGGCATGCTCTCCAACTGGCCTAGCCTACTTGGCATGTTTCAGGCCATTGAGAAGCCTGTCTTGATTGATTGATAGATAGATAGATAGATAGATAGATAGATAGATAGATAGAGGGATAGATGATTGCTAGATAGATAGATAAATAGATTAGATAGAGATGGATGACAGATGATTGATAGATGATAGGTAGACAGATAGATAGAGATGATTAATAGATGATAGATAGATAGATAGATAGATAGATACATAGATACATAGATACATAGATACATAGATACATAGATACATAGATAGATAGATAGAAAGTGGATGGTGCCTAATGAATGAAATCTAAGGTTTCTGTAAAACCCCCTATGACATAAACACATAAACACACAGGCATGCTCACACACAACATGACTGAACCTGTGGTTTTTAGAGTCTGGTGTGGCAAGGTTTGTTGAATCATCCTTATTTAGGGAAAAGAGAAAAAGGAATACAAGAAGGGATCGAAAGGGGGAAATATTGGAAGGAAAAAGAAGAGGGACATAGGAAGGTGAAAGGAACATTGCTCGGACCAGAGCCAGGAGATAGACCCCAAAAGAGATGACCTAGCCCAGCAGGAGTGTCTTGGTCCACATTGTGGCCCACACACATCCACAAGCTCTGTGAGTGCAGGCTGAGGCCAGCTTCGCTGCTGGCAAGCAGCAGGCCTAACAGAGCCGAGAAGGCAGCTTGAAGACATGCCTTAGCAGCAGTCCTCCCTCCCCTCCCCAGGGAGACTTTTCATCAGAATTTATGAAGCTATGGGAATGTGTATCTGGAAACATGGGGGGCGGGGGCTCAGGCTCATGGGGAGTCAGAAGTAAGAACAGCTCCCCCTCAGCTTCGAGAGTTAGTGGGAAGCAAACAGAGGGAGGGGAGACCCGAGGAGGAAACCCACTTCTGAGGACTCTGTCCTTGTGGAGGAACTGCCATGTGGAGTGACATATCCAGGGGAGGATGAGAGGCCGTTCCTGGGTGGCTCTATCCATGAGGACCTCTTGGTAGAGCTCTGTGGGAGATGGCTGTCAGTGGCTTGGCAGAATCCTTTCTTTTGGTTTTCATTGTAGACATTTCTGTATTGCACAGTCACAGTGGTAAAATTCTTAGAACCCGTCCTGGGGGTATCCTTGAGGGTTTGGCAGACCAGAGGAGGCAAAAATCTGTGCCAAGAAAGCCTTCTACCCTCTTAGACTTGGTACGACAACCATTCATGCCTGCTCAACTGAAGCGAAGTCACACCAGCACTGAGGGAGCCATGAGGGATCTGAAGCTTTGAAACAGGAGAGAGTGAGGAATCTGCTTCAGGTGGTAGAGAGCTTCAGGAAGGCAGTGCTGTGCCCACCACCTGACCTACTTGAGAGAGCTGGCCCAGGGACCCAGGAGCTACATTCAGAAATAGTTCCTATGAGATATAGAAGACTTGCTGCAGCCCCTGCTCCCTTCTTTGGAGGAAATGCATCCCCCTTCCCCCCAGACACATATACGGTCTAGGACTGGTGGAGTTACCTGTCAATCACAAGGATCCTCAATAAACACTCTAGGACTGGTGGGGTTACCTGTCAATCACAAGGATTCTGGACAAACACTCTTGAAAATCCACTTTGAGTCCTAGCTCTCTGCCCTTGGACTTCCCAATCCTGAAAATATATGTATGCCCTTTTAACTCAAATCTTTTTGAATTGGTCTTTGGTCACTCATAGCTTAAAAAAAAAGTCCCAACTAGTATACACGTGTAACATGTGAAATATGCTTCGCCTAAGCATGGCCAATCCACAGCCCACAGGCCACATGTGCCGTAGCAAGGTTATGAATGTAGACCAACACAAAAATCATAACCTTACATAAAACACTATGAGATGAGATGTTTGTTGCGTGCGTGCGTGCGTGCGTGCGTGCGTGCGTGCGTGCGTGTGTGTGTGTGTGTGTGTGTGTGTGACTCAATTGTACAGTTCTCGGGTATGAATTTTGTAGACAGTGTTGTGTTGCAATGTCAAAAGTTTGCCTGTGCCTTCAAGTTTAAGCCAAAGAACTAACTCAGAATAACAATGCGTTTTCCCAGGAGCAGAGGCACATAGACATACAGGAAAGAAGCAGAATGACTTGGACAAGAATTCTGGAAGCAACAGGCAGATGCCCCACTCTGCCCCTACAGTTGGAAGGCCCCACACTTCACACAGAGGTACACACATGTGCGTGCACACACACATGCACACACACACACACATACAAACACACTTGTAATATAAAGAGTGCATGGATCTTGTCTCCCTTGGAATCCAACACTCAGCCTCAGCACACAAGGTCCCCATCTCTAAGCATCCACTCTCATGACTGGCACTTTTAGAATCACTAGGAGACTGAGTCTGCATGTTTTACAAACCTTGAATTAAGCTGCCTCCCACATTAGCAATGGTAGGACAGACTGAACGGTGGAAGCAGTTAAAAGAAAAACGCAGATGGATTCATCAGTCAAGTCCTTTCTCACAAATGGTGTGACAGCAGTATTCCATGACAGTGGCAAGCACACATTTTCTTCTATGGGTACTAGCACAATAGCACAGTGTTTGCTATGTTTGCAAATCACAGGTGTGGAACATTTTCCAGGACGCATAATTTATGATTCACCTACATTTGCACATATGCATCTCAAGATGCAAATGCATGAAGCGTGAGACCGACTCTTTACACTGGCAACAACCCAGACACGGAGCAACGCCACAATGGCGAATGATTCATTACTATAAACATGTCTACTAAGATGTCACTAAAATTTCAAAACTCAAGCTTAAAATTAGCCTTACTTAAACATTTTTTTATTAAACTTTATATGTGTTGGATGAAACTTACCAGTTTGAAATTTTGGTAGATAAATGCTGTGGTTTGAAATGTGGGGTATCCTCCATAGGTTCACTTGTGTGACACTTGGTCCTCAGCTAACGGTGTTGTCTTGGAAGGCTGCAGAAACTTCAGAAGAGGCAGATCCTTGATCAGGTGGGTCACTGTGGGCAGGTACTGATGTTAAGTAGCTCAGCCACATCTCCTATCTGCTCTTTGCTTCCTGACTGTTAATGCCAGTCACATTCCTGCCGCGGTGCCTCACCAGCTATGATGGATTATAACCCACCTGTAACCACGAGCCAAAATAAACCTATCCCTGCTTACGTCACTGTTGCCAGGTATTTTGCCACAGAAGCAAGGAAAAGAGCTAACACAGTCATTTTGAAGATTTTTAAGGCGACACTTTTATTCCATTTATTTATGTGTCTATTTATTTTAGGTTTGTGTGTGCTTTCACACCACAACACACATGTGGAGGTCAAAGGACAACTTGTGGTAGTCAATTCTCTCCTTCCACCTTGTGGCTTCTGGGAATCAAACTCAGGTCTTCAAGCTTGGTGGCAAACACCTGTACTTGCTGAGCCATCTCAATGGCTCTAGAGACAATGTTTTTAAAGTTTATGTGAGAAGAACTGGGGAGATGGTTCACTAGGTAAATGCATGAGGATCTTGACTTCCACTACCAAGTATCCAGATGCAGCATGGTGGTGGGCACCTGGAATCCCAGCACTGGGGAGGAAGATACCTGTAATTTGCTAGTCAACCAGTCCAACCGAATTAGCAAGCTCCAGGTTCCACAAGAGACCCTGTCTCAATAATAATAATAATAATAATAATAATAATAATAATAATAATAATAATAATAATGTGGAACTACCTGAGAAAGACATTTCACAAGGCCCTCATACACACACACACACACACACACTCATACAACCTGACACATACACACATTTTTACATGAGAAGCAATCGTAAATGTACATCTTTTCCAGTTGACCCTGTAGTTATAAAATTAGAATAGGTGATTTTCCTGTCTCTGTATAATAAACCCCAAACCTTAGTGGCTCACAATGAGTTATTGAGCTCTGAGTTCACAGTTCTGCCCACTGACTGTGAGAGATGGTTGCTTGGTGATGTGAAAATCTCATGCAATTAAATGGCAGCGGGACCTGAATGAAGCCTGCCGCCAAATGCAGCCTTGACAGCATAGTGCATCCAAAATGGCGGCATCTGCGTCCTCTTCCTCCTGCCTCAGGTGGGATGGATGGAGCAAGTGGGATATGCTTATACATAATGCTTTTGCCATGTGGCCTTTCTTATGGCTGTCTTGAACCTCTCATTGAATGATAGTTTCAGAAGAATCAAACTCCTAATACAATGATTGGCCAACCCCACAGAGTATTCTGTTTGTTTGTTTGTCTGTTTTTGAGACAGGGTTTCTCTGGGTAGCCCTAGCTGTCCTGGGACTCACTCTATAGAGACCAGTCCGGCCTCGAACTCACAGAGATCCACCTGAGCCTGACTCCCAAGTGCTGAGATTAAAGGGATACACTGCTGCCATCCAGTCCATAGTGAGTATCCTAAGACCCCAGGTAGAAACTAAAAGCCTTTTATGATCTATGCTCAGAAGTCATGTAGCATCATGGTCACTGCTTTTGTGGATCCAAAGAAAGTCACAGATACAACCCAGACTTAAAGAAGTGGACCACAGCAAGAAGTGTAAGTTCATTGCTGGGGTGGGAAGGAGAAGCTGTCTCTGAAGAACAATTACCCATAGTCTGGTCCCAAATGAATCACCTTCCTCTAATGTGCAAATACACCTGCTTACCAAGACCCCCTAAGGCCTCAGTCATTAAATACCCTCAGATTCAGGTTCCAAAACCAAGACTTAAGCAACTAAGGTGCACATGTGACCCTTCAGGGGTCCCAAAATTTGTGAGCCAAGAGACAAGTTATTTTCCCACATTTGACACACAACAGCAGGCAGGCACAATGGAAGAGCAATGGGTGCTCGTGTTCCAAAAAGAAGAGCAAGCTCGCAACAGAGCTACACATAGGCCACCAATTCCCTCATTAGACATACAGTTTCTCTCCAGAAGTGTTTTCCTGGCTCCAAACTCTTAATTACTGTGCTGGTCAGATTTATGTCAACCTGACACAGGCTGAAGTCATCAGAGAAGATGGAGTCTCCATGGAGGAAATACCTCCATAAGACTGGCCCATAGACAAGCCTATAAGAGCACTTTCTAGACCTGGAAGGGTCCAGCCTACTGTGGGATGGGCCATTCTTGGGCAGGTGGTCTTGGGTTGTATAAGAAAACAGGCTAAGCTAGCCATGGGGATAAGCATGTCTCAATGGTCCCCTGCTTCACTTCACTTCAGGTTCCTGTCCTGCTTGAGTTCCTGCCTTGGCTTTCCACAGGCATGGTCTGTACTCAAGGCGTCTATGCCACATAAACCCTTTCTTCTCCTGCTTTGGGTCAGAGAGCAAACTAGGACAACTGTCCTTTCTTTTCATAAGAAATAACCAAGAGCTGCAGCCAAGAGACCTCTTTATTTGAACTATACTTCAGTCCAACTTGTAGAATTATTTTTAAAACTCTGTGGGCTTCATTTTTTCCCCTCAATTTTTAACTACACATAAATGTGTAGAGGGGCATTTGCACATGAGTGCAGTACCATGGAGGCCAGAAGAGGATACACGATCCTCTGGATCTGGAGAGACCAGGGGCCATGAGGTGCCTGGTGTGGGTGTCTGGAAAGGAACTCAGGCCCGCTACAAGACCAGTAAACACTCATAGCCTCTGAGCCTCTCTCCAGCTCCTGCCAGCTTTTATACATCACATCCTAACCTCCTCCATCACACAAAAGCCACAACCATTTCTTTACATTGAGGCTTAGCATGACTTAAGCCACTGGTGAGAAGTCTGCTCAAATCCTTAGAAACTCCACTGTCAACTAGAGCTAAGACAGTATCTGCAAGGTCTTCAGAAGCCTTGTTGTCTACCCATGTGGCCTCCAAGAAATGCCCTTGAGTGTTACTGAGGCATTACTGAAGGATTTACAGCCGCACCCTTGGCTTCCTCTCCAGCTCAACCCACAATTTACTGGCAGCACCCTGGTTTGTGCCTTTGCTCTGAAGCCTGTTCTTCCGCAGAGAGCCTTCAGCTGTAACAGCGCTGCTACCTCCTTAGATTTCCTAAATTCTGCTCCAAAGTGGAACAGTGCCTTCCTTAGTTCCTTAGTTAACCGGCTCTTCTGCCTGACAAAGTCAGTTCGGAGAAGTTCCAGGCACTTTCAATGCATTGCTTGAAAATTCTTTAGACAAGACTCTCTCCTGCCTGTCAGTGACGTGTCAGTGAAGGCAACTGCCTCACATAGGCCGGTGTCCCAGGACCCCAACCATGTTCTCCTCAATGTTCCTCGGCTTCTACCTTCCAAGGGCCCCAAAGCAAAGGCCATAGGCTTCTTCTGTCTTCTCTCTCCATTCACCACTTCCAGCCTGATGGTAAGGTACCTTCCCAAGAATGCCCCAGAGAACACTTCCGTTGTTCTGGTCCTGTGTGCTCCTTCCCAAGTGAGTGAGTCTGAGCTGGCCTGTGACTCATGCTAACAAATGGAATGTGCTGAAAATAAGTTGCCTAAGTTTGGAAGCGTTCTTTCAGAATACTGCCAGCTCCTCTTTCTCTCTTCCTAAACACTCACTTCTGGGAGTCTTGAGCACCTTGCAAGACATCCAGCTACCGCACTGGAGAAGCCAGATGCTCCATTAGAAAGAGGCCCACAGACTTCCTGGGGAAAGGGAAAGGGCCAGTGCTGCCTGCCCTCAGTCCAGTCAGCCTCCTGTGATCCCAGGCACCCTTCCCTAACCACAGCTGCCTGAGACCCCTAAGTAAGAGCAGTGGCAGATGCCCTGATAAGCCCAGGCACCGGGTTCCCAGCACCACAAGACATAATAAAGTGGTGGCTGTTCTGGTTTGGTTTCTAATTCCATTTTTTTTTTGTTTTTCTTTGTTATTTCTTCACTTTTAAAATATTTTTAAAGAATTGTGTGTGTGTGTGTGTGTGTGTGTGTGTGTGTGTGTGTTTACATGGGTATGCGCATTCGAGTGCAGGTGCCCAAGGAGGCCAGAAGAGGGAATCAGATTCCTTGGAGCTGGAATTCTAGAGGCTTGTGAGCTGTCTGACTTGTGAGCTGGAAATAAAACTCAGATCTTCTACACAGGCTCTTGACCACCAGGCCATCTCTCTAGCCCCCCCCCCCATTTTTAAGCTTAGCGTACAAAGTTACAGGCCCCCATAAGACATCTTATACCCTCTGTTTTGGTTGACCCTCCCCCCTCACTACCTAGAGGTTGTTTTAAGCCACCAAGTTTGGGAGCAGTTTGCTACCCAGTAACACATGGTCAAAGCAGCCTCGACTGCAGCTTTGTCTTAGTTTCATTTCTTTAACTCCATTTCTAGACCCACTAGAATGCAAACTATTGAGTTCCCACCTGCAAAAGCATGATCAGCAATTTTACCTACACAGAAGGAAATTGAAGTTAGAAGAGAGCTGTGTGCTAGTTTATAAAATATAAAAATATATATACCATATATTATATATGACATATATAAGGTACATATTACTTGTCCAAATATCACTGTCCGTAATCAGAACTTTTATATTCTTAGTAATAAACCCTGCCATCCTTTATATCTTACATACTTTCATCCATCTAAAACTCATCACTCTATATGTATTTTCAATTATGCCATTTTAATGTTATCTCTTTTTATGGCTCTTATTACAATTTTTATTTTCATTTTTGTCTTTATTTAATCTTAAGACATGATCTCACTATGTAGCTCTGGCTGGACAGGAACTCACTTTGTAGACCAGGCTGGCCTTGAACTCATAGAAATCTGCCTTTCTCTGCCTCTGAGAGCTGGGATTAAAGGTGTGCACCACCACATGTGGCTTCTTTTTAGTTTTAATTTATTAATTAATATTTGGGGGCACATATACTATGGTGCACATGTGACAGCCAGAGGACTGTCCTCACTGTCCCCACACTGTGGGTCCTTGAAATGGAACTGAAGTGAGGCCTGTGTGGCAAGTGCTTCTGCCCACTGAGACAACTCCCTGTTTATTTATCTGAGACAGGGGGTGTCACTGTATGACCTACATTGCCCTTAAACCCACTGAGTCACTCCATTCTCAGCCTCCTGAGTGCGGATTTATGAACAAGAGCCACCATGCCTGGCTCATGCCATGTTAAATCAGTATTTGCTTGTTAACTTGATTTATAGCATCTAAGTATAGAGACATAAGGTTTGTGTCTCCCTTAAACTGATGATATGAGTGCCCAAAGGGCTTTGACAGACAGAAGAGAAGCACTCATGGAGACCAGAGGGAGCACTGGGGTGACCAGAGGAGACCAGGGAGGGGCCTTGATGAAGCGGGCATGCTGAACTGCTCACCCTTCTGCTTGCTCAGGCAGCTGCTACTCTACTGGCCAAGTCTGAATGGCTTGGGCCATGGTTAGAGAACACAGCAGAGCTAAGCAAGCCCAAGACCACCATTCACCAGAGGACATCAGGTCTTCTAAAGAGCCCACGTCTAGAGCCAGGCTCCCCCCACAATCTGTTTGTACAGTCGGGGGTGTATTACCTGTCCCTCACAGCCTCCAAGACTCATTTCTGAGAAATTCTAGTCTTCTCTCAGAAAAACAGAGGTGGGAAGAACCTGTCCCTCCTTTGGTGGAGGAGAGGAATGGGGTGGGGGTGGGTGTGGGTGTGAGGGAGCTGATTTGAAGAGATGGCAGCAACAGCCACCTCTCTAAGGCTAAAATGAGCCAAGGTGTGTCCAAGGCCAGGAGCACCCGTGTGTCTTAGACCCAGAGGGCTATATAGATAGACAATCTGGACCCTAAGATGGGTGCTTCCTTCCAGTCTGTGGGGCCACTGTAGATGGTGAACAGCTGGGACAGTGACAAGGGCCAGGTTTGCAGCAGAAGTTGAGCCTGTTCTCCTCACCGACCTAATATGGGACTTCAGGCAAATTTTTTAATCCCTTTGTGTCTCCATTTCCCATTGGCTAAAATAATGAGGAAGTGGGGAGAGCGGAGAGGGAGAAAGGGAGAGAAGGAGGGGAGAGAAAGGAGGAGGAAACGGAAGTTAGTGCCTTGTCAGCTGTTGTTAGGTTTCTATGGGAAACCCAGGTAGGGTTCTGAGGAAAGAGGCTGGCTCCAGGGAAGTTCACATATGGAATAGAGAAAATAGTCAGAGGCACCACACAAGGCAGGGGTGGGAGGACTCTCAGGGGCCTACAGGCCATAGAGTTCTGGGGTTACAGTCCAAAAGCGCTTCCTGTGTCCCACCAAGCCACAGTCATGTTTTTCCAGATATCTCAGTTGTTCCAGAAGCATGTTGTACAAGGCTGTAATCACAGCACTTGGGAGGCTGAGGGGAGACGACTCCAGGCTGGAGAGCAGCCTGGGATACATAAGAAGAGCCTCAATGTCCATAACATGCATGCTTAAGAAGCCCCCATCTTCCCTACCATGGAGCCTTGTTCTCTGACATACTGAACCTGGCTCAGCCTAAAGAAAGACCAACATTGGAGACTATAGGGTGACTTGGGCACATCCCTTCCCAGAGAGACTCCACTCTGACACCGCAGATGCTCAGCAGAACCAGTCATGTCTGGCCTCGATTGTGTCAGACACCCCAGCTTGCACTGGCCCCTGAAGCCTTCCTCTAGTGAGGGTTCACTGCCTCATCCCTCTCTCAAACCTATGACCACTTAGCTAGGGGCCATGATGAGACTTAGTCCACAGCTGCCAGGCTGGCTGGCCCTCCTGACCCCTCCCTTTGTGGACAGACCTCTCACCCAACCCTCTGGAGGCTCAAGGACCTTCACAGCTGGGCCCACTTGGAAGCTTCCCCTAGGAAATACTCAGTCCTGATATGAAGGTGAGGAAGATGAGCTAGCATACCATAACTACGTGAAGTCCGAGACCTGGTCTCTGCCCTAAGCCCCACAAAAGAACAGACACCTAAGTACAACACTGTGCTTGAGCCTATTGCAAGACTGTGAGTATCTATGAGCAAGACAGCAAAAGAGAGACACTGGCTACCTCTGCTGGCTCTGAAACCAGACAGCCTGGACTTGACACACAAGTTTACCAGTTATTAACTCTGTGACTTTGACAGCTAAGTGAGTCCCTTCACCCATCTGTTAAGTGTGGTAAATAATAATCATTAACTCGGAACAGTGTTGTCAAGACTAAACCACTTAATCTCTTTTTAGTGTTATTTAATGTCTACAGGGTAACACATTCCCAATAGATATTATGTATAATTATTACAAGGACCTGTGTATCTCCACATCCCCAGGTACAGAATCAGGTTACTTATTGGTTATCTTAGAGTTACTATTGCTGTGAGGAAACATCCTGACCAAAGAAACTTGGGGAGGAAAGGGTTTATTCGGCTTATGTTCCATATCATTCTTAGTCATCAAAGGAAGTCAGGACAGGAACTCAAGCAGGACAGGATCCTGGAGGCAGGCAGCTGATGCAGAGGCCATGGAGGGTGCTGCTTACTGGCTTGGTCCCATGGATTGATTGTTCAGCCTGCTTTCCAATAGAACCCAGGGATGGCCCCATCCACAATGGGCTGGGCCCTCCCCTATTGATCACTAATTGAGAAAATGTTCTACAGGCTTCCCTACAGCCCAATCTTCTGGAGGCAATTCTTTGTTTTTCAGTTGAGGCTCCCTTCTCTCTGATGACTCTAGATTTTGTCAAGTTGATATGAAACTAGTCATTGGTGTAAAAGTACACTACACATGTCTTTGCTTATGAGGCTGAATACATCTGGGTATTTGTGTTTCTGTGAGTTACCTGTCCTTGCCATCCAGCCTTTCCCCAGATCCTCAGTTGTCTCTCATCCAATAGGAAAGGACATGGACATAAATCCACCAATCACACCTTTCATCTCGTGACCACATGACCTGCCTCTGCCAGGAAGGATTCCTTACGGCGAGGCCATCTTTTCATAGTGGATGTCCCCACAACTTCCTCCCCATCTGGGTGGGCTCAACTCACACTGACGACATACTCCCCGAGAGTATGGGCAGATCTTCAGTAATCAAGGGAGGGGATTTCCCTGGCGGATGAAGGCTACAGAGTACCTGCTGTTTCCGTGGGTTCCGGAAATCCAGGGTGGTGACATTTGAGATTTCATGAGTGTGTGTCTCTCTTTTGTCTTGAAGAGGGCCCCATGACCCTCATCTTCGCTAGCATGAGGCATCCATCCCTGCATAGGACTGGGATTTGTTATAGAAAAAAGGAATGCTGCAATGTTTGGCACCAAGTTTAAAAAAAGTCCATTACACAGCCTGCTCTCTGGAGAGCATATTTTCTGGATTCCTGCCTCTGTCTCCTTGGGTGTGACCATGAAGTTTTATGTAATAGATGCCCAGGCCAGAAAAGAGAGCCTTTGGTCCTATCTAAGGAGATGGGGGATGTTGGGATGGGAAGTAGGAGGGAGGGGACCCAGATGATCACATCTGACCTGGTGGGTCCTCTCTGGAGATGGCCGGTGTTCCTGGCCTCCCTTGGAACTCTGGGCGAGTGGGAGGGGGGAAGCAGCAGCCTCCCAGCTGCTTCAAACCACCCAGGTCTCTGCCTCTGACCACAGGGCTCCAGAACAGGGCAAGGGAGCCTCAGAAATTCGACTTTCACAAGGCAGCTTCAACTCCCACAAGGCCTGACTGAGGACACAACAGACCAGCAAGGGAACTCCACAGGCAACAAAGGACCCGGGTTCAGTAGGGTTCCAACCATCCCAGGAGGGACTGGACCATGGGTTATGTAAACTCAGCTCAAGTCTGTCAGTGGTCAGGGGTGACAGCAATTTTGGCTGGGAAATCGGCAGTCGCCACACCCCAAAACCCCAACTCCTAGTCCTCTTGCCAGATGTCACTCAGCTGTCCCTGTCTGTCCACACATCCTGACACCATCT